TAAAAGAAGGAAAGAGCAAATCCAAATCAACAAAATCAGAGATGAAAGGGGAAACATCACAACAGACACCCAAAAGATTCAAACCATTATAAGGGACTATTTTAAAAAACCTATACACTACTAAATCTGAAAGTCTAAAAGAAATGGATGGATTTCTGAAATCATAGGAACCTCCAAAGTTAAACCAAGAAGAGATCAACCGTTTAAACAGACCCATAACATATAAGAAAATTGAAACAGTAATACAAAGCCTCCCAACTAAAAAAGCCCAGGCCCAGATGGATTTACAACAGAATTCTACCGGACATTTAAAGAAGACCTCCAACCAATACTACTTAAATTATTCAAAATGACAGAAACAGAGAGAGAGCTCCCAAATTCCTTCTATGAAGCCAACATCACTCTAATACCCAAACTGGGTAAAGACACAACCAAAAAAGAAAACTATAAACCCATATCCTTAATGAATATAGATGCAAAAATTCTCAACAAAATACTTGCAAACCACATATAGATACACATGAAAAAGACCATTCACCATGACCAAGTAGGCTTTATCCCAGAAATGCAGGGATGGTTCAATATATGCAAGTCAATAAAAGTCATTAATCATATACATGGACTCAAAGACAAAAAGTACATTGCCATCTCAATAGATGCAGAAAAGGCTTTTGACAAAATTCAGCATGCATTTATGTTCAAAGTCCTAGAGGTAATTGGACCAGAGGGAACATACCTCAACATACTTAAAGCCATATACAACAAACCCACAGCCAATATCATTCTAAATGGAGAAAAACTGGAAGCATTCCCATTAAAATCAGGAGCCAGACAAGGATGTCCACTCCTTTTCAACACAGAGCTTGAAATTCTTGCTAGAGCAGTAAGACAGGAGAAGGAAATTAAAGAAGTACTAATTGGAAAAAAAGAGGTCAAACTATCACTTTTTGCAGATGATATGATGCTATAAGATATCCCAAAAGTTCCACTAGAAAACTCGTAGAACTGATCAACACTTTCAGTATAGTGGCAGGTTATAAAATCAATCTACAAAAAATCAGTAGCCTTTCTATATACCAATAACAAGCAATTGGAGAAAGAATAGAAGGAAATTCTCCCATTCACAATTGCTGCAAAAAAAAATTTAAAATATCTTGGAATAATTCTGACCAAAGACACCAATGATCTCTACAATGAAAATTTTAAATCATTAAAGAAAGAGATTGAGGAAGACACCAGGAGATGGAAGGACCTCCCATGTTCATGGATTGGAAGAATTAATATTGTTAAAATGACCATCCTACCACAAGCAATATATAGATTCAATGCAATACCAATCAAAATCCCCATGACATACTTCTCAGAATTAGAAAAATGCATCCCTAAATTCATATGGAGGCACAAAAGACCCCAGATAGCCAAAGCAACACTGAGCAGAAAGAGCAATGCTGGGGGCGGGGGGCGGATTACTATACCGGATCTCAAAGTATACTACAGAACGATAGTCATAAAAGCAGCATGGTAGTGGTGCAAAAACAGACACATAGGTCAATGGAGCATCATTGAAGATCCAAACGTGAGTACACACAATTTCAGCCATCTGATATTTGACAAAGGAGCCAAGAACACACAATGGAGGAAAGACAGCATCTTCAACAAATGGTGCTGGCAAAACTAAATCTCTACCTGTAGAAACTAGATCTTTATCTTTCACCTTGCACAAAAGTCAACTCCAAATGGATCAAAGACCTCAATGTGAAACTGGAAACCCTGAAACTATTAGAAGAAAATATTGACAGTAACTTACAGGATATAGGTGTAGGAAAGGATTTTCTAAATCGGACAAAAGTTACTCAGGAATTGTCAGCAATCAATAAGTGGGACCTCATTAAACTAAAAAGCTTCTGTACAGCAAAAGAAACAATCAAAAAAGTGAAGAGAAAACCCACAGAATGGGAAAAAATCTTCACCAGTGACAAATCGGATGGAGGTTTAACATCCAGAATATATAAAGAACTCAAAAAAACAGAATCAAGAAACTAAATGACCCAATTAAAAGATGGACTAAAGGTCTAAACAGCGAGTTCTCAAAGGAAGAAATAAAGATGGCTAAGAAACATCTCAAAAAGTGTTCAACATCATTAGTAATTAGGGTAATGCAAATTAAAACCACCCTAAGGTATCACCTTACCCCAATCAGAGTGGCTAGGATCAAGAGAACAAATGATACCAAATGCTGGCGAGGATGTGGAGAAAGGGAAATGCTCATTCACTGCTGGTGGGATTGCAAACTCATGCAGCCTCTATGGAGAACAGTATGTTATACCACTCCTCGGCATATACCCAAAGGACTCATCCTATTGTAGAGACACGTGCACAACCATGTTTGTTGCTGCTCTTTTCACAATAGCTAAGAGATGGAAGCAACCTAAGTGTCCCTCAACTGGCGAGTGGTTAACAAAAATTGGTATATTTACACAATGGAGTTCTATTTGGCGATAAAGAAAGATGAAATAATGAATATACCACTCCTCGGCATATACCCAAAGGACTCATCCTATTGTAGAGACACGTGCACAACCATGTTTGTTGCTGCTCTTTTCACAATAGCTAAGAGATGGAAGCAACCTAAGTGTCCCTCAACTGGCGAGTGGTTAACAAAAATTGGTATATTTACACAATGGAGTTCTATTTGGCGATAAAGAAAGATGAAATAATGAAATTTGCAGGTAAATGGATGGACCTAGAAGCTGTTAGGCTAAGTGAAGTAACAGACTCAGAAAAACAAACGATGTATATTCTCTGTGGCTCCTACCATCAAATTCTTTTAAATTCCACATCCTTTTAATGAGAAGATGCTATACAGCAGTCCCTTCTGCATGAAATAACTACCATCATCACTACTTCGGCTGAGCCTGATCGCTAAACATAGTCACAATTGGGCTTGCTGTTGGTTGTGCTCATTCATTAAAGGAGTGCCAGGCAGAATCATAGGACCCTCACCTGAGTATTCAACCACTCTTCTCAGACAATTAGTCCATCCTTGGAAGACAAAAGAAAAATAAGGAAGAACCCAGTAAGGGATGCCTTTGGAAGCCCTTGTCAAGAAACTCCAATGGACTTTCATATGAACATTTGAAAAGTGCCCTGTTCTGATTTTTTTCTAGTTCCCTGTCTAGAACTTGTAAACATAGGACCCTCACCTGAGTATTCAACCACTCTTCTCAGACAATTAGTCCATCCTTGGAAGACAAAAGAAAAATAAGGAAGAACCCAGTAAGGGATGCCTTTGGAAGCCCTTGTCAAGAAACTCCAATGGACTTTCATATGAACATTTGAAAAGTGCCCTGTTCTGATTTTTTTCTAGTTCCCTGTCTAGAACTTGTAAAGCTAATTACTTTTGCCTTTACTTCTCCTTCACATCTCCTAGTCATGATTCAAGGACTTTCTTTTCCCTTTAGAGACAAGAGTTATGCAATTTGGGAGTCTTTTAGATAGACTCACTGAAGGGGTACTCCAATTGCATCCCTGCTCAGCATGGAAGAAGCCAGAGCGGTCGGCGTCCCTATTCCCTATTGGCAATTTGGGTAACTCCTTCATGGGATGGTGTGATAAGAATAGGAGGTAGGAATTGGCTAGACAGAGTAAAAAGACCCCAAAGAAATGTAGTCAGTTTCTTGGCTAAAAGTCAAAATGTCCTTGGGCCTGTTAGCAACATACTCTGTTCCAAAGGCCAAAAATATCAAAAGTATTTGGGAGCTTGTATCTAATCCTTAAAAGATTTTACAGTACCTCTTCCGAGAGTGGAATGTTGGAGGGGAGGGAGTGGGCATGGATTTGATCAAAACACCTTATATACATGTATGAAATTCTAAATAAAGTTTTTGTAAAAATATTTTTTAAAAGATCACCAAACAAGGCAAAACTATTAAGTGTTTTCAATTCTGATTTTTCTCAGTATAAATTATTTACTGAAGATAAGAACCTAGAGTCAACTTTTTTTAGCCTATAATGAAATTTAACTTTTATTGCTATTGTGTGTGCCAGTTGGAAGACTGACTTAAATCATTTTAGAAACTATCTGAATACTGTGAGGATTGGGTGAGCAAATGGCAGGCTCAGGGGAGAGCGCTGCTCTTTTATGGAAGCACATGAATTTTGCATTAATTTTGGTTTTATTCATTCATCATAAGATCAAGAGCTAGGTTCCGATTGTAAAAAGGCAATAAAATGAACAAAATTGTAAGCCAATTAAATAATCTTGGGCATACTAAGAACATAATTGCCATGTAAGTAAAGACTTGACATTTACTTACTAATTGAAATTGGCCTAGATTGAAAATGTGTTTAACTTGCTTTTTGAGCTAAAGCAAATATTCCCCATCCTCTTACCTCAAATGAGCAAGAGACGACTCCATTTCTGTTTTCTCTTCATTGGTAAACCATTCATGGAGCTGCCATCTGGACGCTGCTGGGCTTCTACCCAAGATTCAGATCGGGCTTACAAAAGCTTACCTGCCTGAGGCACCGATTTTACCATCTGCATAAAGAAAATGAGAGCACCGTGACAGAGTTTTAATATTTGCTTTATGCTGATAGCCTTTTGTCACAGATAACAGTGTTTCTGAGATAGAATGATTGGAGAAATTAGGGAGTCTAGTTGCTAAAATTTGGATGGTTAATGAACAGTCCAATATAAATCCTTATCCAGAGATCTTGATGTTAGTGGAAGTGTCTCACTATGAAAAGAGGAGGCGAGACAGGAATGGAAAGAAGCAGGCGTGCTGGAAATGCGTGGACCTCATCACGATACTCAGAGCCCTGGACTGGTGTGGATTTGGTATAATGCAATGCTTATCCATTTCAATTTCTTTTTTTATTTAAACAGATTTCTACCTGGCAGATTAACCAATGATAAGGACGACTAATCTTTGTGTTCTGAGTACTGCTGCTGGCAAGACCCATGACAGACTGTAGGCCCAAGTCCATTGTGCTGCCATACTCCTAGCCCACCCCAGACATTGTCCTGGGGTCCATCTGAGGTCAGCAGTGTGAAGATGAACAGTACCTTCTTAGCATGACGACCTTGGACCATGTGATCGCTACCCATCAATCAGAGTGGGTCTCTTTCAATGAAGAGGCACTCTCCCCTGTCCCTTCAGAGGGTAAGGAATGCTTCTTTTTCCTAAAGTGACAAGTGAACTCTGACTCAGTAGCCCAGAGGAGGCTTCTTAGCAGCCTGTAGACCCCCCCAAAAGCCTGGGAACATCAAAGGTACAGCTTCTTTTCTCTCAAGGGACCTAACCTGACTTCCTACTTTCAAAATACTTTACCGTTGGCCTTTTTGGTGGTCACTCCCACCAGCTGTTTGAGTTTTCTCAGTGTTTAAGAGTAATTGTTAAAAGTGAAAGCTGGAGAGATGACTCAGCAGTTAAGAGCACTGACTGCTCCTGCGGAGGACCTGGGTTCAAATCCTAGCACTCACATGGCAGCTAACAACTGTTTGTAACTCCAGTTCCAGGGAATCCGAAGCCCTCTTCTGACCTCTGCTGGCATTGCATGGCATGGGTGTACTTACATACCTGCAGGCATAACACTCATACACATAAAATTTTTTTTAAAGTAACAGACAGCCTAAGACAGATTGTAAAGCTTGAACTCAAACCCTGGCCTCACTGGGAATGGTTGATATACCCTTGGGTAAATGATGCGTGTGTGTGTGTGTGTGTGTGTGTGTATGTGTGTATGCATATTAGTGTATGAGTGCATGCACTCATGAATGACTGTGTGGAGGCCAAAGCAGGGCGCTGGGTGTCCTCCATCCCTCTCCACTTTATTGCCTTGAGACAGGATCTCTCAGTGAACCAGTAACTCACTGTTTAACTAGGCTATCTGGCCAGCAAGCTCTCAATTTCTTCCTGTCTCCACCTCACCACCTAATTCTGGGAGCATGGGAATACATATTCATGCCCAGCTTTTATGTGGGTACAGGGGATTTGAACTCAGGTCTTCATGCTTATAGGGCAAGCTGCTCTTGCCTACTAGTCATCTCCCCCCGCCAGCCCTTTGTGTATCTGTGTTGGGGGGTGGTCATATTGTAATCTAGACTGGCCCGGAGCTTACTATGTAGACTAAGCTTGTGTTGAACCTGCAGCAGTCCTCCTGCCTCTGCCTCTGGAGTGCTGGGATTGCAGGCATGTGTACCGTGCCCTGCCCCCAGAATGATTTATTTAACCTCCACCTATATTGCTTCATTGTGCAAATGGGATAATCATAGGACCTGCTTAAGAGCTTTTGCAAAGATACAGCAAGTCAGCAATTGTAAAGTACCTAGTACAGTGTCTGGTCCATGAAAAGAATTCAGCAGTGTCCGTCATCCTTGATCAATTGGAAGTCATTGTATTCTCCTTGAGGAGACAAGTGTTCAGAGATGAAGGTCAGGGCAGATCTGTACTACTGTATCTACCAGTGCCACTTGACAGCTTCCTACCTTTATCTGCACACCTGGAAAGTCTCCAGGTATACCATCCAGCTGGTGTCAATATGGATAGCGAACCCTTAAAATGTGGCATATTTGAAGTGAGATGTGCTGAAAATGTGATGCAGAGATGAACAAACCTTGGACTTCATAGACTTTGTTTTTAAAAAATCACATCACTTGGAGGCTGGGAAGATGGTTCAGTGGGAAGAACGCTTGCTACATAGGCATGAACACCTAAGTTCAAATCCTCAGGACTTGTAAAAAACCCAGCATAGCCATGTGCACCTATAGATCCAGCACTGTGAAGGACAGAGACTGGAGGATCACTGGGGCTTGTGGCTGCTAGCTTAGCTCCAGGTTCAGTGAGAGATCTTGTCTCAATGAAATAAGGCAGAGAGTGATAAAACAGGATACCAACAGTTCTCCAGCCTCCACACATGTGTGGATACACGCACCCCCACATAACACACATGTGCATACACCATACACAGTCACATACACACACACAAAATTGCATATCTCATTAACAATTTTTAAAATATGATTACATATTGAAATTATAGATTGGTAATACTGAGGTCAGGATTGGCAAGATGGTTCAGTGGTTAAGAACATTGACTGCTCTTGTGGAAGACCCAGGTTCAGTTCCAGCACCCACTTAGCAGCTCACAACCACCTGTAACTCCAGTTCCAGGGGAATCTGAAGCCCTCTTCTGACCTCCGAGGCATTGCACGACATGGGCGCACTCAAATACATGCAGGCAATACACTCACACATGGACATTGCACGACATGGGTGCACTTACATATATGCAGGCAATGCATTCATACACATGAAATAAAAATAAAATATTTTTAAAAAGTAAAATTTTTTAAAATTCTCAGTATACTGGGTTGAAATACATAGGAGTGAAAAAAAAGTTCCTTCGACTGGGATCCTCCTTCAGTGTTAGAGCGTGTGCTTTCTAACCCCATGGCCTGGGGTTCCAGCTCTGTGCCACAGAGACAGCCATCTCCCCTGTCTCATCTTACTTTTTTAATGTCAAAACTTGAAGATTTAAGTTAATATTATGTGGCTTGCCTTTTATTTCTGTTGGATAATGTGAAAGGGTTTGATTTCATGCAAATCACAGGTTTGCTTGTTTAATGGTGGGAGGAGGGATTTGTATATCAGCTCTTTACTTTTTAAAAGGTTTCACTGAGATAGCTCAGCAGATAAATGCACATGTTGCCAAGCCTGACAATCTGCTCACAATTTTCATATAGTGAAATTGACATTTGCTGTACATTTGATGAATTTTAGTATATGTGTAAATTTTTATATCCAACCACCATAATCAGTTTATGCCATTGTTTATATATTTTTATCTTCAAAAACAAGTCAAAGATGTTAAATGTTTCAGGACCAACAGCAGTGTTGTAGTTTGGCCAGAACAGAGTTTGAAACTTGAATTTAAATTTCTTTAGTGCAGAGAGAAACTCTACTGCCAAGTTGCAGTGTCCACCACACCCTGTTGCATCTCATGTGTCCCACTCACCCCGGGAATATTTCTTGCTTGATTTCTGTAGTCAATTGAATTTGTGACCCTCGAGCACTGGCATAGATACAAAGATGAAAATTATGAACAAGGGCTGGAGAGATGATTTGTTCAGTAAAATGCCTGCTGCGAAAGCATGAGGTCCTCAGTTTGCTCTGCAGCACCCATGTAAAAAGGCCAGCAGTACACAACTGTCATCCCAGCACTGGGGGTGGGGAGCTGGAGACAGGCTGAATAGATGAGCTCCATGTTCAGCGAGAAAACCTGTCTCTCAAAAATAAGGTGGAGAGCAATTGAGGAAGCCATCTCAACCTTGACCTCTGGCCTCCACAGGTGCACACACTAGGCACAGGCTAGCACACCCCACACACATGAGCACATACATGCACACATCACACACAAAAAAAGGCAAAAAAAAATAGAAGGTAGAGAGCAATCGCAGAAGACACCTAACATTGATCTCTAACCTCCACACATACACATGCACACATACAGACTACATATAACACAGATACATGTAAATCTAATAAGGAACAAAACTTTTCTCAGCCATCCTGGATACTGACTGGGGACAAGCTAAGGTCATGGGCTTTACAAGTCGTTGGGGACAGTCCTTTAGCATAAAGATGAATTGTTATGATCATTTCGTCCTCTAAGGAATCATACAGTCACCACTTGCCCATCCTAAGTTTTTGTCTCTATGAGATCTGATGAGCACCCTTCCTCTGTGTGATGGTGGTGTTTGGTATCTGCTGTAGGGGGCGCTGAAGAGCACTTCCCAGGACTGTCATCTTCTTCAGACCAGTCAGAGAGCTCCTCTGGGGAGAATCATGCAGCAGATGGAGGCTCTCAAGATCTTTCACACTCTGAGCAGGATGACTCCTCTGAAAAGATGGGCCTCATCTCTGAAGCGGCCTCCTCTCCAGGGAGCCCTGTGCAGCCCGCACCTGACCTGGCCGCAGCCATCAGCAACTGGGTTCAGTTTGAAGACGATACTCCATGGAGCAGCACCTTACCACCTCACAAGGAAACAGGTGTGCTGGGCAGACAGATGAGAGGGTTCTGGGTAGGCACAGGTGCGGAAGGATGCTTTTCCATGAGGGGGCTGTAGGGCTGCCAGGGTTCCATTTTGCCAGCCCCAGAGCCCGGAAACACAAGCTACATAGGAGACAGCAGACAGAGATCCTGCCTCTTCTCATTTCATGAGTTTTTGGTTGTAGATGAAATAAGCACAAAGAAGAATTTATGTGTTCTGGGTAGTTTTCAACCTTTTACTCCTGTCCTTGACTGTTGAATTGTCTAGAAGAATACATATATTTATCTATTAGGGACATTGGAATTACATTTATTCGGCTTTTATATTGTAAGCTCCATGCACATAGAAATGAATGTTTCTCAAAGTGTGGCTCACTGACCATTTCTAATACAGTCCCAAGTGAGACTTGTTAATCAGTCTTATGCCTGAGACCTCTGAACTCAGAATCCTCAGGGATGGAGATGGCCGTAAATGGTAGAGCTCATGTTTTGTGGCACTTAAATGGCCAGAGGCTGTGCTGGGACACTCAGAGAAGCCAGTGAGTTGTCAGTCCCCAGGCTGGTAACCTGACCATTTACCGTGCTGTGTCCTACAGCATACAAGGGTGATTGGATAACCCTTGGGGCTGTATCTGTTCTCTACTTGCTCCTGCAACAAATTACCAGTCTTGGTGGCTTAAACAACCTGAGTTTATCTCTTACAACCCTGTAAGTTTATTACTTACAACCCTGGTCTCTACTTGCTCCTACAACAAATTACCACAGTCTTGGTGGCTTAAACAACCTGAGTTTATCTCTTACAACCCTGCATTTCGGTAATTCAGCATAGTATTCTCTTCTGGAGACTCTAGGTAAGAATCTGTCTTCTGACCCTTCAAAGCTTCCAGAGGCCACCCACGTCTTTGACCTAGGACCCCTTCTATCTCCAAAGCCTGAACTGTAGCATTTCTCTGTGCCTTTCTTCTGAAGTGCCATCTTTCTCTAACTTCTGCCTCCCTCTTCCATTTTTAAGAACTCTTGTGGTTACATTGGGCTCATGAGGATAAGGGCTCAAGTTCCTTTATATCATCATGCATGTTAAGTCCCAGTTGCCATGTAATACCTTACATATTCACAGGTCCTAGAGACTAGAAGATGGGCATCTTACATACAGCAGGTGGGGGACATTATTCTGTCTACCACAGAGTCCTATCAGTGAAAAGTAGAGTTGGTATGGTTTTTTGTTGGTAAGTTAAATGTTTTGCTAGTTTTACTTTTAAAAATAATGAGTTGAAGCCAGGCATGGTTGGCTCACGCCTTTAATCCTAGCATTCAGGAGGCAGAGGCAGGTGGCTCTCTGTAACATCAAGTCCTCCCTGATCTACATAGCAAGTTCCAGGCCAGCTGGGGCTACTGGAAATCCTGTCTCATAAAAAGACCAAAGGGGGTGGGGGATGATTTGAAGTCAGGTCTGGTGGTACAGGCTTGGGATAATTTATCAATATCCTGTAAAATTTTTTTAAAAAATTAAATTGACTGGGGATATAGCTCAGTGGTTTAGCATTGGCCTAGCATACCCAGAGCTCTGGGTTCCATCTCCAATACTGGAAAAAATAATTCCAAAAGGTGCACAGATCTTAGCATGCTTATAGTTCAGTTACTTGAGAGGCTGAGATTAGATGAGTCTAGGAGTTTGAGACCAGCTTAGGCAGCATGGTAAGACCTAAGAAAATAGATTTGCTTTTTGTAACATGTTCCCACATCAGTAAAAATGCTTTTAAGAAAATATAAAACATGATTCTGTCACATAACAAGTGTTCCATTTTTTATAGAATACCTCACATTTGCAAGTTCTTTTTCATATTTAAGTATCAGGTTTTTCAGTCAGTTATTGGCATCAGAGCCAGGACATTCAAAGTAGCATGAGTAATGTGACAGGTCCAGGCACACTTCCAGTTCAGGGGAGAGGGTAGAAATAACTCTTACTGAAGACCTATCACTGACCAGACACCGGGTTCCATGTCTCTACATGCAGGAAAAGTATGGAACATTGGTGTATGTTTGGATGCTTTATCGCTCCAGGATTCATGCTAAAACCAATGTGTTGGTATTATGTATGTGGTCTTTGGGAGGGACTGGGTCATGAGAGTAGAACCTTTGTGAATGGGATCAGTCATGAGGATAGAATCTTTATGAATGGAATCAGTACCATTGTAAGAGACTTGAGAGCGTATGCCCCTCCCCTATGTGAGGTCACAGTGTTTGTTCGATCTGCCATGTGAGGACACAGCTAGAAGGAATGGACCCTTACAGCCCCCAAATCTACTAGTGTTGTAGATCATGGACTTCCCAGCCTCCTGAACTCTGAGCAATAGGTTTCTATTGTTTATAAGTTACCCAATCCATGGTAGTTTTTTATTCAGTAAGAATAGAATGTGCTAATCACAGGAATCAGTAATCAGTACAAGAATATGGTTATTGTTATTGTTGTTATTTATTTTCAGTAGCTAAGGCTAGTTGACCTTAAACTTATGATCCTTCTGCCTCTACCTTCAGAATAGTGAGATTATAGGTATGCACCACCAAGCCTGGCTGGTCTCTATTTTTAATTATCTACATTTGTCGAATGCTGACTCTTAGGTGGCATGTTCAATGCTTTTAACTGTCATGTGTTCCTTCCATTAATCATATGAGAAAAGTGTTAGTGTTAAATCTGTCTTTCTGTAAGGAGGCTGAGAATTTGCCCAAGGTTATATGCTAAGGAGTGACAGGTGAGAGATTCTACATCTGGTAGGCTGGTCCCAAGACCTTGGAGCCCAGGGGTGTGCTGGGCTGTGCTTGCTTCACACTTCCTGCTATTGTCCCTGCTCTAGTTCCTCCTGGTCCTACACTATACTAGAGGCAAGTGTTGGACAGCCAGGGAGGGAGGCTGGGAGGGAGGCTGGTAGAACCCTCTGGCCCTGGAGTGGCCATACCTTCAGGCATTGGTTATATTCTAGGCATCTGAATTCTTTACTTCTTGGGATGTTGTTTCTAACTGAGGATCCTCTGTTGTTAATGACAGTGGTTTAGATACAATGTTAAAACTTCGTTGTTTGAAGCAACAGATGTTAGATTATGGACTACCAATTTCTGGGTTTGTCTTTGGGCTCTATAATATTTTCACAATTCCAAGATGTCTTCTACCTTTTGTACCACGTTGACGTTCATATCAGTGTTGTAGAAGTGACGGTGAGTTAACTTTCTAGCCATTGAGCATGCATAGAAAAAAACTCCCAAATTTACTTCGCAGTATCCCTGATAAGGCAATAAAAAGTATTAATTTTATTAGCTTTGGATTCTTGACGATGCCTTTTAAAAATATTCCCTGTGACAGTTTCAGAAGTGAGCATAAAACACTTTTGCTCCATACAAAAGTATCATGGTTGTTTCTTCAGGAGAGAAAAATGTTATCTTGGAAAAAATTGGGATAAATTGTTTTGTAATTTTTTTAAAAAGCTGAGCTGTAGCTCAGTTGGTAGACTGCTTGCCTGGCATGCATGAGGACCTGGATTTGACCACCAGCATGCATAAAACCAGGGGTGGTAGTTCATGCCTCAAATCCCAGCCCTTGGCAGACAGGCGGATCAGAATTTAAAGGTCATCCTCAGTTACATAGCAAATTTGAGGCTAACCTAGGTCACATGAGATCTTATCTTTAAAAAAATCAAAATAAGGCCTGGTGCGGTGGCGCATGCCTTTAATCCCAGCACTCGGGAGGCAGAGGCAGGTGGATTTCTGTGAGTTCAAGGCCAGCCTGGTCTACATAGTGAGTTCCAGGACAGCTGGGGCTACAGGGAGACCCTGTCTCAAAAAGACAGAAAAAAAAAATCAAAATAATGCAAAACTATCCATGGCGAACAAAATAACAGAACTTTAAAGACTAGATCCAATTAACACTTACATGACAGCCATACTCAGCTCACCCTAATCCTGGCCCTACTAATTTTAATAGAACTTTATTTACAACAGTCAGAGGTTAATCTATTGAGTATAGTTTATTGTTTTGGTTTGATATTTTCACATATTACATTTTTAAGATATTACAAAAATATTACTTTGACAGCTGAAATCTTTGGTACCCCTTAATTTTGCACTCAAGACAACTCTATCACATACTTTGCCCCAGTCCTAGCCCTGCACTGAGTTAAAGAGAGGAGATTTATTGGTATGACTAGAAGACAAATAAAAAATTAGTTCTCAAATGCGTGAAAGTCTATTTTGTCTTGAAAATTACTTAGACATTAATAACCCCTTCCATTTCTGTGTATGGAAACTTCACTCACCCTGTGGATATGGAGCTCTTAGCCTTAGGAGGAGCTTGTCAGCCTGATACCTAATGAGCCAGAAAGAAGCTGGACTAACTATGTATAGGGCTACTCCTCCCAATCCTGCCAGGACTCAGCAACACATGAGGGTGATTTAAGGAAAAAGGTTAAGAAATCCGAGGACCAAATCCCAAAGCTGCTGGTATCCAACTTGGCCCATGAGAGATGTGCTAAATAAAAGGCTATAGGGTACATTCTTAACACCCAAACCAACCTCTCCTTTATAGGCCTACTCCTTGGGCTCCCTTCCTTAGACTATGTTTAACAGTACGAATGATGGTTTGTTGGGGCTGGAGAGATGGTTCAGCAGTTAAGAGCACTGACTGTACTTTCAGAGGACCCTGGTTAGAATCCCAACAGCCACATGGTGACTAACAACTGTCTGTAACTCCAGTTCCAGGGGAATCTAGTGCCCTCTTGTGACTTCTGTGGGCATTGCATGACATGGGTGCAGTTATATACATGCAGGCAATACACTCATACCCATTAAATAAAAAGAATAAATAAAATAGTTTTTAAAAAGAAGGATGGTTGGTAGAGCTGAAGCCAAATGAAAAGTAAAAGAAATTGGCCATTAACCCTCTCAGCATAGACAACATAGATATTCTTCAAGTTATAGTTGTTCACTTAGAAATTGTTGGGTAGCTCAGATG